GACAAGTAAACCAGTCAACTGGATACAGACCACCAAAACAGCTGATCCTGCAACAAGATCAGGCCACCACCAGACATGACAGCCCTGCTCTAGTCACTGACTAGTCTTTGCATGGCAGAAGCTTGAGGATCAACATAAAGTCACAATGACAATGTAAGTTTCCTATTGTCTGTGCTATAATTTTCCTTTGCCTCTTACTCTTGTCAAAGACGTGCAGTTGACCACAGAGACTCAGATAGGCACCCTAACACTTCACTTTGCTTTAACTAGTGTTATTATAAAAACAAAAAGGGGGAGATGTGGAAAACTACTTGGGAGGCTGAGGTGGAAACACCAAGGCCTGGGTTTACATCTCCTTCAGAAATAAGGGAGGACATAGTAAGCTACCTTCCTTCAGGCTGCGTACTAGCATTCTGGCACCAGCCGGTTTCAGGGAGAGGGTCAACTACAGTGAAGCCTGATAAAAGAAAAAACATTCAGGTGTACTCTACAAATTATGAGAACCTCATAAACCTAAATCCTGGATCACATGTTTGCTTGCTTCTATGTGTAAATCAAATGAAAGTGAAGCACACTACCAGTTTGAAGCTGTTTTGTCCACTACAGCCAAGAATTCCCTTGCCATCCTCTTCCAAATTATCTTTGTGTGTTTTTGTCTCAATTCTTGTTCACACCCTCTGGTTAGGAATTACTAGCAGGCTGGTAAATTACTAGCATTTCTGGGAGTTGGAGGAAACTGATTTTTGGAGTTTGGTAATTTCTCCAGAGTAAATACTATTAAACTACCACTGCATTGACATTAAAAACTAAGTGGAAAAAAGTATGTGTAGCTATCTCTCCTAATCAATGCAATTACATCAAATTTTTAAATTTTCTGAATAAAAAAAAATGAGTGAAGAAACACAGGAATTGGGGGGAAACGTGCCAGCTATTCCTCAGACAGAGAAATATATCTAGAATATATAAACACTCAAAAAATTTAGAACCTCAAAAATGAAACAATCAAAATATGGGCATCTGAAACAAATGGAAATTTCTCAGAGGAACTACAGATGGCCAATGAATACATGAAGAAATGTTTAACATCACACGTCATTCGAGAAATGCAAATGAAAACACACTGAGGTTCCACCTTACCCAAGAAAAAATGGCTACCATTAAGAAATCAATTGCTGGTAGGCTGTAGGGAAAAGGGAACCCTTCTACACTGTTGATGGAAATGTAAATTACTACAACTACTATGGAACTCTATATAGAGATTCCTCAAAAAACTAAAACTAAATATTCCATATTTGACCCAGCTATTTCCCTTCTAGATATGTTCTCAAGAGTTAAATACATCATATTACAGTGACACAAGCATATGCTTGGTTATAGCAACACAATTCATAAAAGTTAAACCTTGGTAGAAGCCTTTATGTCCATTAACACATGAATGGACAAAGAACATATTGTTTTTACACACAGTGGCATCCCACTCTGCTATAAAGACAAGCTTGAATCATTTAGGTGAAATGGATGCACCTTGAGATCTTAATATTAAGTGAAATAAATCAGACACACAAATTTAAATGTCCTTTTTCCAAAAAACCCAAAATATAAATAAAGAGCAAAAGGGGCAACCTACTATCTGGTTCCCCTTCTGCCTCTCTTAGACAGAAGCTATCTTTCTCTCAATAATTTTTTTTCCTACTTTTAACCTCCTTTTTTCCTAAAACTCATTGACTTTGGAGAAAATGAACTTGTATTTTGGATATCTAGAAGATTGGGAGTTATATTTTCTTTATGTGTATTGTCTACTACTTTATATCATGTTGGAGGCCCCAGTGAGATCACTGGATGGAGAACCTACCAAACTCTAAGGAGATGTACAGATGGAACCAACAACAAATGTGCTAGACTCCTTTTAAAGGGATCCACCAGATTGACCTTGTAAAAAGTACGTAACTGCTAAACTACAATATGATTTCTATCTGAGGCCCATTAAGTTAGCCTACCTGGAGAAGGCCTAACTGCAGTCTTCCTCATACTGACTCTTCTCAGATAGAAGCTGATAGATAATAAAAACTATGCCCTTTCCCCTAATTGCAATTACTGAGACTTCTTTTAGTACAATGCTGGGCCCTTGGGTTAAAAAAACAACTCAAGAACCTTCAATGGTTAGTATTATAAAAAGAGAAAAGGCACTACATCCACCTACTTTCCCTAGGGATGAATAGCAGTGACTGATATACTAAATGTTCATCAATCTCCCTAGGCCATTTCCGTTCTGGTGATTCTTTGTTCTTTCTATGTATATTTGTCACGTGACTTGTTTTTCCATTTGATCCCCATTTAATCAATATTACCTCGGCGACTACACATGTAATCTTATTGGTTGGTCATGGTTTTGTCCCACCTCACATGCATCTTGCTATTTTTCATTGAATCATATAGGTTTGTCCAACTTCAGGGTTTTTCAGAGTTTTTCTTTTACTGCCACCTGAATTTTCATGCTCATTAATTCTTGAGATGTTTCTTTCTTGGGTTTCTTCTTGTTCTTCTGAATGCATCCAAATGCTTTTGTGCCTCTGAGCATCAGAATAAGCACCACCTCTTCTATAAATCTTTCCTTCTCCACTCCTCCCCAGGATTCTTTCCCAATACTAAATATACGCCATAATATTCAGCAATACAGTGATCTTTCTTTTACTCCGAAGAAACAGTCACTAAATTGGTGTGTCCTTCATTCCTGAGCTTCCAGCTAGTTGAAAGGGAGCTGACATTGTCTTTTCTGTTCTTTTGCTGCTTCTTAACATTAAGCCTCTTATTTCTAGCAGCCCAGTTTTCTCTGCTCTGCCCCTTCTCCAGCCCTTATGAACATGACTCTCCTGAGATCATGTTTTACAGCTAAGGAAATCTTACTTTTAACCCATTCTACACCTAGCATGCTTTACTAATTAAATCAATCCATACAAAGACACACTGGAAGCCTTTTCTTATTATGCTTCCTTGTTCCTCAATATTTAGAAATTTCTAAATATTAAATATCCAGGCCAGTGTAATAGGAGGCTAGATCTTCTCACTACTTCTCCTTGACAAAGGCCACATGTCAAAGGGGAAACATAAAAGGGGCTTATGTCACCATCCCTTTACATTTGAGAGGGGACCTTCCTACTGCTTGGCTTCCCGCCCATTTGCAACTTTGGTAGCTCCTTCCATTTCCTCTGTGAGCTTGAGTTGCAGGCTCTTTGAGCTCCATAAAAGGGAAAGAGCTGTTGTTGCGAGGTTCCTGACCTGGATGATGAATCAGAAAGTCTTTGGAAGGACTTCAGAGCAGTCTCATATTCCATACACTTCCTAATTCTTGTCTAACGTGTACTACTAAACATTGGGGATACAAAGGGTAAGAGGAATAATCCCTGAGATTAAAGAGTTCATGATGGTGTTGGAATTGAGTAGTAAATGGGTTAAGTACAAATTCTGGGGATGACAAGGTGCTGGGGGACTACATAAAGAAGACACCCAGTTAGTCTTGAGGATATTAAATAAAACTAGGGGAACTAATGGCTCGATGAAACCATGAAGAATCAGCTAAGGAAAAGTAGATGGTCAAAATGTATGAGCAAACGCTTAATAAAGAAAATGACCGATTTTGGGAGTGTGATTGTAGTTCAATCTAAATGGAGCACATGATCTTGTATGAAAATAAGCTGAAAACGCAAGATTAGATCTAAATGGGAGTAAAGAACACTTTCTCCTAGAACTGTTTTGTCTAAACGAGAAACAGGAAATAGAATCACTTATTGAACTGCTTACCATTTAACTTAATAAATAAAAGCACAATTACTATTACAGGTATAAGCATCTATAATTAGCTACATAGCATTTTTTTCTTTTTATATAGAATTGTTTATCCTTAGAGTTTAAAGCATTAAAGGGGCACCAGTAACTGCCAGTTTGAGTGATCCATTTCAGAAACAGTGCCTTAAGGTTACAGTATCATTCCTAGGCAAGGTATTATGAGACAACAAAACCATTTCAAAATCAAGTTAGCTATTTCTCCAAACAAGTGAAAGCCACAAAATTCGCGTTAATAGTAAAATTAGGATTAAGAACACTGCTTTCAGCTCGCTGCAATTTACTTGAAAGCTTAAGAAAAATGTTCCTCTGGATGAGACGGCAAGCGACCAATCATTACTAAAAGTTTTAACTAAGCTCAAAACTGCAAATGTAAATCTCTACGACTTTCAGAAAAATGCAATAGTTTTACACTGCCTTGTCATAAAGATCGTGCGGCAGCGGGGAGTGGGGTGGGGTAGGGGAGGCTCCAGGGATTTAGCTCAGTGGTTCCGTCGCCTGCCTCGCAAGCGCATGGTTCCGAGTTCGAGTCCCGATACAAAAAAAAAAAAAAAA